AAATAATTTCTGCCCTGAAAAATGCAGTTTGGGTTGACCTGAAACTATTCACAAATGAGACATGATTTCGCCAAATAGATTCAGTCCCCAAAATCTTTTGGGGGACTTAGGTGCCATTCACAGAAGGCAGAGGTTGCTTTCTTTGAGTTTTAGCCCAGTGTCTAGGGAGCTTACATGGGACACAGGGGCTCCAGGTTCAGTTCCCTGCTCTGCTTAAATAGACAAGGACATTGGAGAGGGTTCAGAGAAGAACCACAAGAATGATTAAAAAACATGTCTTAGAGTGATAGACTCAAGCAGCTCAATCTATTTAGTTTAATGAAGAGAAGATTAAGGCATGACATGATTACAGTCTACATAAGTACATACAAAGGGAATAAATATTTGATAATGGGCTCTTCATCTAGCAGAGAAAGGTATAACATGATCCAATGGCTGGAAGTTGAAGCTAGACAAATCAGACTGGAAATAAGGCATAACTTTTTAACAGTGAGAGCAATTTATTGGGACAATTTATTAAGGGTCATGGTGGATTCTCCATCACTGACTGCTTTTAAATCAAGATCTGCTCTAGAAGTTATTTTGGGGAAATTCTATAGCCTGTGTTATACAGGAGGTCAGACTAGAGGATTACAATGGTTACTTCCAACCTCAGAATCTATGAATCTGTGTGGGGGAAGGGGGCGCGGAGAAGTAAGCTTCTAGCCCTCAGGGTTGCAGAGAAAAGCTTGAGACGCTGAAAACTAAACCCTCAGAAAGCAAATAAAAAACCTACAGGTTTTTTTTTTAAACCTCGTGATTTTTGTGGAGTGGGGGCTGACTCATAATTTTTTGAATGCTTGGGGATGCTGCAATAAAGAAACAAAATAAACAGAAGACAAGACCATAACATGGGTGTAGACAACTAGGACTGACAGAGGGGCGGGGACGGAGATGGGGGGATATAGCTGTCTTCCGAGCAATGTAGGGATTGCATTTATAAATAAAGGAAAAACAGTATTTGGAACAGAAACTCCTTTACCTCACTTCATTAGAAGTGGACAAATTTAGTCATAGTATACAACTACTCATTAAATTGATATTCAGCAGTTTAATTCCAATTTAACTCTACCCCTCCCATATTAAATAAATGGATAAAAAAAAATAAAGTTGGCTCTTCCCCGGCACAAAAACAGAAGAAAGGCAATAGAAAACAAAATAAGAAAGTGCAATTGTGGCAGCCCCAGGACTCCCACCATTCCCTAACTATGATGCAGACACTGAAAAGAGATTGCGAAGATCCCTGGGAGAGAGATCCAGCATTGTGAAAACTGCCCGATTGTGTCAGATTTTAAAGAGGATGCCAGCAAATGAGGTATGCTGCAGAGCTGCAGCCATAAGGAATGTTTGCCTGAGTCTGGGAAAACAACAGAACCAGCGTATTGAACTTTCCTCTTTCTCACTACACGTTTTGTTCCAGCCCTTTTTACTTATCACCCTCCAACCAGCTCCCATTTTATTTCTTTTTGGGAAAGGAACGGTCACTGTAAGAGAAGGTGCACCCTTCTAAATTAAACTCCAAATCATGGAACTCTTTTCTTCCCTGACCCCAGTCTTCATAGCAATTATATGTGTTTTGATTGGGATAATCCTGAAAAGCAACAGGAAAAGCAGCAAGAAAGGGAAGAGTGAGACTAAAAATAAGTTTGAATCTCGCCCATGGGTGGATGACGACCTCAGAGACAGCACTGACCTTCACGTAGAGGAAGAAGGTAAGGAAAACAGAACTCTACTTAGCATTTTTGTGTCTAATTTTCATCTGTTGGTATGAATAAGGGAGATATGATCCCATAGAGGTAGTCTGTGCACACAGCTTTGCAGCTACAATGCACTGTAGTACTTTCAATAGCACAGAGATCACAAATTCTACCTCTGGCAGAACAAGTCAGACCATCCCAAAGTAGGAAGTAGTGGGCAACATGATTAGCTTAAATAAAGTAATTAATTGCGGGTCAGATTGCCTGCTCCTGTAGAAAAAAAAATTTGGGGGGCGGGGGGCTAAAGAAGAGGAAATTGCCTCTCATTATGTTAGGAATGTAGGACTGGGATCTGCTTGGAAGTACGCTGAGGGTCAGATTTTTCAAGAAATAGGTAGGCAGAGAATTTGAACCCAAAAATGTGGCATTGATTTTGTACTGGGAACTGCTAGCCAAGGCCTCCATTGTACCAATTCTGCATCAGGATTGTACTTATGTACCAATTCTGCATCAGGATCTACTAGCATAGGCCTCCATATTTGGCGTCCCTGGCCTATGCTAGTAGATCCTGATGCAGAATTGGTACATAAGTGTGTATGTGCACAAAATGTACAATTCCTCCTTTTTACTCTTTGAATATACTTTCTAAGTTCTCTGTTTCTTCTTAAACTAATGCTGCAGATTTCCCCCCCCCCCCCGTAATTTGTAGAGCTCTTCTAAAAACTCTCATTTAATGTAAACAACTGTTTCAGCCACTGTG